CTTTGGGATGATGGGCCGGCAGCATTCCACATCCATCTCAGCTTCACCGGCCCAATTCAACCAGTCCAGCCTTGGTATGTGTAGCAGTAGACAGGCCATGTAAACCAAGAAGGCCTTGCCAAATTTTGGCCGATGAGCCCACGCGTCGCTGTACAAGGAGCGTACGATTTCGTCCGAGGCTGCGCAACCCTGCTGGCTGGCGACTTACTATTGACCAATTGTAGCGTTTCAGGATGTCTGGCACTCTGGCGTCTAGCTGGCCTAGTACATCGTATTCAAAGCAGCCTTTGTGTTTGCATCCTAGCTGCTGGAGTAAAAAAAAAAATGCGAGGACCAGTAGTTGTTGTGTCATTGTTTGTTTGCTGAGTAGATATGCAAAGTTAATTGGGCCTTGTTTAGATCACCTCCAAATTTCAAGTTTTTTCACTCTCTCTCTCTCCATCACATCAATTTTTGGACACATGCATGGACCATTAAATGTAGGTAAAAAAAAATAACTAATTGCACAGTTTGGTTGTAAATCACGAGATGAATCTTTTGAGCCTAGTTAGTCCATGATCGGACAAAGTTTGTCAAATACAAACGAAACGTGCTACAGTATCCAGATTGCAAAAATTTGCAATCTAAACAAGGCCTTGGTGAGAAATTTAATTCTCTTCTCTAGCTCAACTAGTGTGTAGTCTATATATCCAACCACCCAGTGGCGAAGCTAGAGTTGAAATGAGAGGGTGCAACACTTCAATAGTACCATTGTTCTTCTAAACGGTCAATTAGCTTGTTTAAACACTGCGTAAATGCTATATAATGATTCATCTAGCCCGTTTAATTGACCGCTCAACCCGAATACTTTTATCAATAAAGTTGGTTAAACTTTAGATACTTACACAAAGAGTACACCTAGAATTGCATTCTTTTGTAGATATGGAGGTAGTACTTGGTAAAATTTGGTTTTTCTAAAGCAATAATCATATTTACAGAAATTTAAATTTAAAAATAAAGGGAGGTATGCAAAATCTATAAAGGTGTATATTGAGTTCAGAAGCTTAGATAAAAATTATTGCTAATATGTGCAGAGTTTAGGTATAGAAAATTAGATGTTATCGATTGTTTGCCATAGAATCAGATAACATTAATAACTACCTTTAGCCGATCAAACTCCTAGCCCTTATTATTCTTGTGTACTTGGCATCCAGCCTATCTCTACCTTAATTGAAAAAAAAATCTCCCAATGCTAATTGATAAATTAAGACAATCTCAGTCTGCTCAAGCTTTCACGCATCCACGTTGGCATGCGGGGGTGCATGATCCTTGGCTGAGGGGGGTGCACACATGGTGAATGTGAGATGATTAACGCTAAATTTTGTTTTTGCTGTGGGTGCAAGGGCATCCACTCATGGGCGGATACAAAGGGTATTCCCCATATTCCCAGGAATACCCAACTATTTTAGCACACTTCTATGTATATATGTGTATATACTTGTATATGTATATATATAATGTCATATTTTGTAGTATTTTCACTCATTGAAGCCCAAAACAGTAAAAAAACAGCCTCTCAAATTGGCTCATATTTTGTAGTATTTTCACTCATTGCAGTTAAAAACAACTGATTTTTTTATTGACGTGGAAGTAGAAATACCCAAGTTTGGAATCCTGGCTCCGCCACTGTATCCACTGTGGGATACGTAGCTTCGCCCCAGAACCACCTCAGCGCAGCACAGGGACCTCATAATCCATGCTCCTCTAGGTAGCCAGGCCCGGTAGCGGCAGGTCAACTCGCCGGCCGGCCGGCGTGGCCGCGCTACCGTGCTCGCCATGCGACGGTGAGAACGGTGGTCGGCCATATCGTGCTCTTGCTCTCGGTAGCCATGCATGTACGTCCCTCCCTCCTACTCTTCAATTCAAATGGTGAAACTTGTTTCTATGTTTCGGCGTGACGTTGTTTTTCATATCCTTTTTTCTGTTGTCGACATCTTTCTTTGTTTTCCACCTTTCGCATTGTATGTGCTTTTATTTCTTGCATGCCTTTTGGGCTAGCTACTAGATGTACTAGATATGATAGAGATTTTCATAGTTGAGTTTTAGAAACTGATCGTCCTACTTCATCTGGTGGGGAGATGAGGTGGGGAGGTGTGGGTTTATATATAGCTTTCTACTGCTTTTCCTAAGTAAAGTAGAACATGAAAGGAGAAGTAATTTGTAGCTAGCACTTGGGACGAGAAATTGATCTTTGACGAATCTTATCAGAAACGAAGAAGAGACAGATTGAGGATTAATCAGTAATAGAGCGTGCAGAATTGCTGAGACGACCAGAGATAGATCTAAATCCAATGTCAACGCCTCAAACAACGGTGGGGTGTGGTTTTGGTCTTCCGTCTTCCCCAGGAAAGAAGTGGGTGTGGTCGTGTCACGTGCAGCCCGTGCAGTGCCTGTGGAGCGATAAAACAAACAAATGAACCCATCCCCAAAAGGCCCATCTTCAACGCCAAAAGCCTAGTACCATCTTCACTACAGAGAAGCCCGCGTAATACTTTAGGCAAAAAGCCCAGGCCCGCATATATACCGTTGCCTTCTTCCTCTCCTGCGGTGCTGCACGGTGCTCAGCGGGCCCCGGAGTGAATCGAGGAAAGCGACAGACTAACCGTACCATGCATGGCTTGCTTTTATTTTCTCGCGCGCTCTTCTTCTTTCTCAGTTTCTCTTGACGAAACTGACAATTTCTTTCCTTCTGCCATTCTTGAAGCTAGCTAGCTAGATCGCCTCCGCGCAGTTTCAGTCTTGAAAACTCGGAATTGCCGTTCTTGAAGCTAGCTAGGTAGCAAGATCGCCACCGGCAAGGGCGCCACGTTGCGAGAGTCCCACGCGGCGGCAAGGAGAGATCTCCTGTGCGTCCAGATACGGGACGAGCGCTCCTCTGGATCTAGCTTCTTCAACGAGGAGCGGGCCGGCGTCGAGGCGAGGTGGAGCAGGCCGCCGACGCGGAGCAGCCAGGTTGATTGGCCCCGAGGTGAAGCGACCGACGTGGAGGCAGAGCGAGCCACCTGCAACGTTGAGGTGGCCCCAAATCCCAGCCGAAGCTTTGCTTCCTGAGCGCCCGGTGCCCCAATCCTTTAATTCCTCTGTAGGGGCATTTTGGTCCTTTGGTTTCAACCTTGGTAGCCATGTAGTATGAGTCTAGAATAACTCTTTCTATAGGATGGAGGGAGTAAGATGGCTTCAAAACATGATTCACATGCAACAAATTTTGAGGTAGGGCTTCGCCTTGTGTAATGGAGCTAAAAGCTAATGGCATCTAAATGTATATCTATTAATATAACCTTGGATAAAAAAATAACCAAAACCAAAGTTATAGATCTTAAAAAGATCTAAAATATTGCCGTTAATAACCTTTTCAATTGAAATAATCTATGGTCCAAAAATTCACTTTAAAGTCCTCACATTATTTTCAAACGTTCTCGGATGGAGAAATGACAAAAAAAAAAAATCAAAGTTGTAGATTTCGAAGATCCAGATAACTTTGTAGATAACAAAATTTTCATCTAAAATCATTTATTCAAAAAGTATGTTTGAATTTCTCACATTTTGATTTTTTTTTCAATCGATCTTGGATGAAAAAAAAATGACCGAAAGCAAAGTTGTAGTACTCGACAATATCTGTAATTTTTCTGTCTAAGCCTTTTATATTTAAATTTAGGATCATAAATATTCATTTTAAAATTTTGTAAAACGAATATGAAAGAAAATGTAAAGTGAATAATCGAGCCGAAAGGATTCCCATATGCGTGTCTTTTTTTCTTAATTTATGTCGAGAGACGTGTAGGCGCAGATCGTACGTCAAGGACATGATACCACGCCACGGATCGAGCGTCGTCCCTGCGTCGCTGAGTCGCTCGATGATGGACGGCACGGCTTATATATATCGGCAATTTTCAACTTTCATGTGCCTCGATTTCTTCAGCTTATTATCCGTCAACCACTTGTACTCAATCCATCCCAAATTATAAGACGTTTGATTTTTTTGACACCAAGTTTGACCACTCGTCTTATTTAAATATTTGTGTAAAATATCACTTGTTTCGTCGTGGTTTGGTTTATTAATAAAAATTCTTCAAGAATGACTTAAATTTGACTATATTTGCACAAATTTTTTGAATAAGACGAGTGGTCAAACTTGGGGTCAAAAAAGTCAAACGTCTTATAATTTGAGATGGAGGGATTACGTGTTTTTTCATAGCCGCAATCAATGACATTTTTTTTTGCCGACATCGATCCGAATGTTCTTGTCTCCGCAGCCGCATCACGGAGAAAAAGGTTCGCTGCTCGCGTCGCGTGGTCATGCACGCTAGCTACTGCAGCGACACATCTGCTGACTGTCACGTACTGTACTTGAATACGGAGTACCTGATCCTAATGGTCCTAATTTGGCTGCGGCGACGCCGATACGAACGTCACAATAATTGATACTACTAGGTTAATTAATTATATATTATATTATCTGAACCGCGCTATATATCCCGTGTACACGCGTTATCCAATCCAAGTATTCGTACAGAAAATGTCTGTACGTACTTTTCCGTGTCCTATACAGGCAGCGCGCAAGACTAGGAACACGTACTACGCCGGGCGCCGCGCGACGTGCGTGCGGAGGAAGCTTCGTCGACGTACGTCGCCGGCCGGTGGACTCGTGACGCTAACCACACATACGTAAGCGCATGACGAAATAATATGACGCGATATATATGTTTCCTAATAACCATGTAGTACTCCACGTATTCCTGAAATTTCGTAACACAAATATACTCCTAAAATATAGGCCCAACGCGGTGGAGGGAGGTCGTCCTGCCTTCGTGGAACCTTCGTAGCGTCGTGGTCGACTTGTTCACTACTACTAGTAACATAAAGCTGCCCTAGCTAGCTCCATCCCACTCCCAGGCTGCCTCACCGGCCGGCGGCGGGCTGCCAGAACTCAAACCGTACGTACCCTCTGCCGGTGATCCTCCATGGAAGGCGCGAACGACGCCAGACCGCGTCCAGGCGGCGAGGAGGAGAAGGCGCCGGCCCCACCTCCGCCGCCGCCACCGATCTCCGGCGAGCTCAACGGCGGGCACCGCCGAGGGCAGAGGAGGAGGCCACGCCGCCGCCGGGTGAGCCTCCGCGCTCTCGCCGTACTGATGATGGCCGCGGCCGCGTACCTTATCGTCGCGGAGGCTCTCCTCGCCGTGCCGCCGCCTTCGGACGCTCCGTGGATCTTCACGGCCTTTGTCCTCTGGATCATGGGGAAAGGGCTGCTACTCCTTTCGTTCATGAACTGACGTGTGCACGACGGATGTATGTGTATGATCTGCTCGCCCGCGCGCCCGTGCGTGCGGCAGATCTCTGGCCCGTGCATGTGCATGCATGCCGGAGGGTTGCCGCCGTACGTACGTGCAGTGGCGGATGCGATCGACAGCGAAGTGTAGCTCCGGCCTTTGGGGGTCTCTCGTCTCATCTTCCTCCTCGGAGCTCCGGCCTTTGGGGATGAGAGACCCCCAAAGGCTGGAGCTACACTATATTGCCTGTATATCAATGTATCTTTTTTTCCTTGCACAGGTTAATAAAAGACTCTTTATTAGTCTTTGCTTTGATCAGAGTTTATCAGGTGTAGCTGACTATAGAGTACCTTGTTCATCTTTTCATCGGATCTTTGCACGAATTCATACAGGAATACCTGTAGTGCAGTACTACTACTATTTTTCTTTTGAATTGATATTTATGGCAGAGCACTACTACGACCGTACGACGGATCCACAGCTCGTCAAATCGAGACACGAGCTGGTGCTGGAGCCGCTAGCACGAAGGAGAGAAGGATGAGCTGAGCACATCCAAAAAATTACCGTTTCGATCGTCGTTTTGCTCCAGCATCGATCTCCATCTCCTTCAGTCTAAGAAATCGGCTCTGACGATTACTAGATGCAATGCAAGATAAGCTAGTCTCCGTACGTCGTCGCCATTAGCATTCACGCGTACGCCGCGGAAGCACATTAAGCTATATATGCCAATTAATTGTCATTCCTCAAAGAAGGACATGAAGTTCCCTTGAAACTGAAACCCTAGCTAGCTGGTCTTTTGCTTGTGCAGCTTGTCCACCTCGCTCCCCGCCGTCGTCTCTGCCAGTCCAATAATCCTTCGACTTCGAGGCCAAGGAAGATAGTGGGACCGTGCGTGGGCCTACATCACACACGCGTTTATTTACTCCCGCGCACGCCGTGTTTGACGACGGATGGGAGCTGATGGATCACCAGAGATCACAACAAACACCGCCGTGCGGCCCAGACATCCCTTACCTCGACTTAATATAATTTGAAACGACTTATAAATTAGCTATGCATCTAGAGATAACTAATGTATGTCTACGTACACATCAAAATGGATATAACAAAAAAAAAGTCAAATGACTTGTAATTTGAAACAGAGGGAGTAGCAAATAATTTTGCATCAGAAAATCCAGACTATTTTCAAATCACCCTAACCACTTTTATGCTTTCGCTGTATCTCATACATTTGCAATGAAAACCCTATCCTACTTTTTATTTTTTCCCCACGTCCTTCACATCTAGATTGGCCAATCGATGTACAGGCGGCATGTATAAGAGTAAGATAGGGAGTTGTTGAGAGAGCATTTTTTTCAATCTTGAGTGAGTTTTGGAAACTCTTTAGAGATGCTTAACAAAGGGCGAAAGCATGAATATAACTATACATTTTTATAGTATATATGACAGCCTACCTTATCCCAGAATTGTATATATATGTCTTTTCTGACGGTTGATTTTACAATGGAGCTAGACCGGTTCCTTCCTGTTAGGAAGTCTTCCCGAACGGAAGGAGTAGTCCTCTGCTGGATAAAATTGCGGTAGATAAAAGTAAAGAAAAACATCTTAGCCAAAAAGGTAAAAATATTCCGATCCCATGGCCCAATTGATGATAACGCAAGGTGCCAAGCCAAGGTTTTGGACGGTTCCAACCTGAAACACCCGCTCATGCTGAAATTTGACTTATCTTGATGCTTATGCTAAAATGTTATCGAGAGGAAAATATTGTTTCATAGCTGAAAAGTAGTTCTGAATAAGCTCAAGCGAATAGGGCGATATATCTATAGAATTAAATACCATACCCGATAAGTAAAAGTTGTCGTTAGATAGCCTCCACACGCTTTCATTACATCTTTAGTTATTCCTTTTGGCGTTATTCTCTCCGGTCTCCATGGACCAAGCTAGTAAGACTGTCTTCAACAACCGTTACCCAAAATACATGACCCATTTCACGTTTGGGTAGCGCTACAGGCAAAGGATTCAATACCTATTTTCGGTCTTCTCCAATAACAAGATCCAAAAGAGAATCTTTTCTGTAAATGAGTCTCCGTGAGACAAATGACGGATCCGAAAAAAAAAAAAAAAAATTAGGGGAGGCTGAACAACACGTACCTCTAACTGCTGCTCGATTTTAAGTCTCACCCCACCTACACTATAGAACTTTGCCTAAAAATTCATGGGGTCTCCGGGGGTTCCATTGCTTCGGTATGGGTAAGGGGGCTCGAGAGCCCCCCCCATACCGTTGGATCCGCCCTGCCAGGAGATATGATATTCAGATTTGGGTTATACCTCCCCTGATACCCAAAATGAGTCTTTTATATAGGTACTCTATTGAAGGCTATATGTATTCTATTGAAGACCCATTTTGGGTTTGGGTCTCCTGTTAAAGACAGCCTAACATGTCAAAGGAAAGGTACGTACGTACGGATGTCCTTCTGCCATCATATATATATATAAATGGAGTTATCGATTCAAATGTCGTCCTCGAGTTTGAACCTAATGTTCTTATTTGAAATTTGCAAAGACGAATTATTGAGGGCTCCAAGTTTCGAAGTTTGTCAGGTCAGAATTATTGAGTGTCCATTGTTGAGTTAAGCAAAAAATTCAAATATGAATATTATTCAGAAGTTTGGATCCGAACTATACCATGCATGTGTGCAAATATATATGAACTATATATGAAAACCCTTTCAAACAGGTCCAATGGATTTCCGTCGAACAAGAAGCACTCGCTCACAAACTACAGTCCATTTATTAATGTTTTCAGGGCCGTTTGGTCTGCTTTTATTTACTTTATACTTTCCAATCCAAGGACAGATATACATTCATGGTTGTTGTTACTATTCTGTTGTTGTACACGTATATACTCCCTCTGTCTCTATTTATTTATCGTTATGTTTTGTGTGTTGGTCAAACTTTTTAAATTTAATAATATTATCAATATTTATATCTTTAAATAAATTTATTATGAAATTAGATTCACTGATCTATCTAATAATACTAACTATGTACCATAAATATTAATAGTTTTTTTATATATTTGATCAAAGTTGAGTATGTTTGACATCTGAAGAAGCGAGAACAATATATAAAAAGGGATGGAGGAGGTACTGTCCAAACTCTATACTGCTAATCAGTTTGGTCTGGTACCATTTGGATCCTCCAGCTACTAGATAGGGCATCGTTCATCCATTTGTTTTGGTTCGTCTCCCTCTAATCACCGAACAATGAAGAGTTTCTTTTGTTCAGATTTATATATATAACACGTGCTCATATGAGTTAGAATAGCTTGTGTCTAGACCAATATAGAGTAGGAATCATAATCTAAATAGATTCCTCGAATCCTGAGTACTCTAAATAGAACTCTTAATAATCAAATAGAAAAGGATAACAGTTACGTTCTTTATTTTGCTCCACTTTCTTTATTTAGTTATATGTCAAAAGGGAGGCAAAAAAAATCACGTCCGTGTGTTCCTTATTTTATATTTTCAATCCGTTTACAGAGGAACCAAACTCCAACTTCTATCTCTTTTTTCTTCAAGCTGTCTTTCTTTTTTCCGTGTCCAGCTTATTTTCCTGTTTTGTAAAAAAAAACTTCTATTCCCGTGACTTTGCCAGTTTCCCCACGGTTCTTTTTTTTTCCGTATATCTAGCTTTCTTGTTCTGTGATTTTTCTTTTGGTTTTTTCTTTTCTATAGATAGAGTATCTCCCAATTTATTATATAAATATAAAAGAATAATAAATACAATATTATGGATCTTTGAACTTTGATCGTTCTTTATCCCTATCCCTCATAACTAAATATTCTCACTAGTAAGTTTATCTACGTGTCTGCCATGGGCACTTGGGCAGGGGGTAACTACCATGCTATGCTTTTCTTATATGTGCCACGTAGGCCATGGAGCTTATGAAGCTTCCAAGAAGCTAGCTCCGATATCCGCCGGGCTGTTTTCAAGGAATCTTCCCTAGCTAGTTTACCCCCTCGCCCAAGCCTCCATTTTTTTTCCACAGGCAAGCGTACACAGGAGGCATAAAAAGGCAAAGTTTACTGCTCTGAGAGACTTCACAGAATCACAGCTTCACACAAAGCGAGCAGAGGTGAGCAGCTAGCTCACCACTGCGGCCTCGGATCAGTGATGGAAGAAAGTCAGATCGGCGGACTGACGGCCCGCGGAAAGGGGAAGGCGCCGGCCCGCCGCCGCCGCCGCCGAGCCGTGAGGAGGAGAACGGCGGTGGGCACCGCCGCGGCCAGAGGAGGCGTGTCTGGCCGCGTGGGCGTCGCGCGGTCGTAGCTCTCGTCGCGATGATCGCGGCGGCTATCTATTTTCTACTCGCTGACGCCGTCGCCGTCGCCGAGCAGCCGCCGGCCGCCTGGTTGCTCGTGGCCTATCTTCTCTGGATCATCGGGTTGAATATGCTCGTTTCGTTGATGAACTGATCACGGCGCCCGCACCGCGCGCGCGCACGAACGGCAGCGTCTCCGGCGAAGGGTTCGGGTACGTACGTGCGCCATAAGATTGTATATTCCTGGTCTCTATGTATACATATATACTGCTCGATCTTGTATATATACTCCTCTATCTTGTATATATATCCTTCCATTATCTGATGCTGGCAAGCATGTACAACTTGATGGAGCAAATAAAAATTTTCTGTTTTCATTCCAGTGGACATATATGGTAGGAGTAGAACACTAGCTAGAACAGATCCAGCTCTTCAAATTCTTCAGAGATGTGCTGGAGCAGCAAACACGATCGATAGGGAAGGAATACAAGAGCAATTCCTTTTTTTTTCCATTTCATTCTGCTCCAGTACGTGACTTCATCTCCTTCAGTTTAAGGAATCTGTTTCGGCGATTACTGCACATGCAAATATACTCTCCGTCATCGATTGCAAACAGTGTCCAGACCGCGTAGGCAACGCGTGAAATTGGTTTCCTCGCGCGGACAAGGGTCGAGGGGTA